TGTCTTGGTGAAAATAATTTCACAAGAAATTTTCCTATGAGGTCCTGGCTAGAGCTCAGTTGTTAGAGGAAGGTCCTGATACGCCAAGGTTGCAAATTTGATCCCTGGTCAGGGCACATACAAGAATCAACCAATGAGTACATAAATAAGTGGAACAGCAAACACATGTTTCTCTCTCTCCTTCTAAAATCAACAAATTAAAAAAATTTTAAAAAGATTTTATTTATTTATTTTTAGAGAGGATAAGGGAGAGGGAAAGAAAGGGAGAGAAACATTGATGTGTGGCTGCCTCTCACTCACCTTCAACTGGGGATCTGGCCCACAACGCAGGCATGTGCCCTGACTGGGAATCAGGCTGGCACTCAATCCACTGAGCCACACCAGCCAGGGCCAGTAAATAAAAATTTATTTTAAAAAATAAATAAATTTTCATACTACACTGTCCATGCCAGGGACATGGGCAGTGTAGTGACTGCAGTGGGAAGAGGATATAAGGGAACTACATGGTAAGGGGAAAAATTCAAAAAAGAAAGTAAAAAAAAAATCTTCCTGTGAAATTCTCATTTCCTAAAGTGTTCCCCCAAATCATCTTTGTAAAACCTTTCTAACATTCTCTTACTGAGAGGTCCCATGGTTCCCTATGGTGTAGGTTCTCTATAGTGGCAATAAGCAACTGCATCTAAGTCTCTGGTATCTGGTAGTCTTTGGCTAGAGGACATCAATAAATGGTAAATAAAATTCATGTCTAAAATTAAACACCTCAAACTTACATACATTGTTACTATGCCTATCAACATCTTTATGGTCAAACCATCCCCCTCACAGAATATCCACCCCTTTGAATTGGTTTTGGTACTCCCCTGGTTTTCCTCTGACTTCCTAGCTCCCCCTGTATGTAGCAGTTCTCCCTGCCCCATAAACACAGGTGTTTTCCGAGGTTCTGTTCTTAGCCTCTCTTTCAATATCAATGGTTCTTAGTCATTTTTGGCTCATAGTATTTCCTTTGAAAATCTAGTGAGAACTGTGGACTGCTTTCCAGACCACCTTTGCCGTACTGTGCCCAGAAAATACATACATAATGAAAAGTTTCCAATTTTAGGGAAGGATTATGAAACTCTTACCTTCTCTCCCAGGTAATATAACAATAACACCTTATACGTTTATCATTCCCAAACCACTAACTTCAATCTTTACCCATCTCCCAAACTTCAACTAAATGAAAGCACAAAACTAAATTCATTTTCTCTTCAAATCTGCTCAATTCTCACCCTGCCGTCTTCCCAGTTAACCAAGTTGAAGACAATCAGTATCAGTTCTGACTTACTGTTCTGAGTCAATTAAATATGAGCATGTCATTATCTACAGATTGTATCTCTAAGATGTCACACCTGGCCCCTCTTTACCCTCCCCCAATTACTGCCCTGGTTTTGCTGCTCATTACCTCTCATCCATACCACAGCACTAGTATCATACAACTTCTCTCCCTAAAAACATTACTCCAATGATGTCACTGTTGCTTAAAAAATGATGTCCTTGGGACTCTCCATTCCCCACAGGGTAAAATCTTAGCTTGACATTCAAGGGCTTCCACAATTTGATCTTAATGGACATTTCCAACCTTAATTTCACAAGTCTCTTCTAGACACACAAAGCTCTTGTCACACCAGATTCTCAACATTCCTTAAAGTACTCTCCCTCCTGGGAGCACACCCACACCCTTTCCTTCCCCTTCTTCCTCCCCACAGTTGTGCATTTCCTCAACTCTAAGGGACCCCATGAGACTTGCAACCAGGGAAGCAAAGGGCAGCTTGTCCTGGGCTAACTCCCTGAACCTGTCTTGAAGGCCCCCCTTTTCTCTTCTCAGTGAACCAAAACAGCCCTGCCTAGGCTCATTTCTTTCCTAAAACATTTCCAGAGAGCCAAAGCACCCCCTATACACTCTTGTTTCTTCTATCCTAAGCCCTTGTTTTACTATCTTCAGCTTTAATAAACGTACTCTTAAAAAAAATCCTCATAAATGGTTGACACTTTCTCCCCTAAATATACAGACTTCCAGTTTTGCTTCAGAAGAAAAAAAAAATCTATTAATGCTAGACCCAAATTGCTACATGACAACAGCTGGCTGGAGCCAAGAATTCCTCCTCTGGTTCTTTGCAGTCTCCACTACTTCTCACCATTTTGTGCCTGACGAACTTCTCTTACTCAGTTTAGCTTTTCTGGCTTTGTACACAATCTAGTTTGTAACCCTAAACCAGGAAAATATACCTACCCATCCTGGTTCTCAGATCCATGTTCTAATTAAGGTTATACTACCTTTTTTTCTTTAAATACTTTAGTAAAAATATGACCGTACTAATGTTATTAAAGACTAAAACATAGGCCAGTCATCTTTGTTGTTATTCCTGTGCTTACTGGCCTTCCAGTTTAAGTGTCAGCCCGCAGCACAGGGCAATTCCCACCCCAGGAAATAAGCTACAGCAAAGTTTACAAAATGTCTCTGCAGCTTTTATCACAAAGGATGATCCATTAACTCAACAGAGATGTCAGTATTAGAGCCCCAAGCTAGTTTACTTGGAAATGACCTGGCTATTTAGCATTTGGGGTTTGTTGTTGTTGTGTTTTTAAGATTTTATTTATTTATTTTTAGAGAGAGAGGAGAGGAGGAAGAGAGAAAGAGAAACATTGATCAGCCACCTCCCACACGTGCCCCAACCAGGAATTGAACCTGTGACCCTTTACCCTGAGGTATAAAGCCCAACTTAACTTACTCTGGAGAATCCAACATGAACTTCTCCTCCCTAAAATTGTTTAAATAATTTTTCTTTCTTTCAAACTGAGCTAAGTCCCAGGGAATGCCAAGAGCATTGGAAAAGACTTTGGATTCACTATCACTAGTGCTATTTTTAAGTAAGATATTGTGCACTTAAATTATTCCCAAAATGTCCACAACCACCTTCTCAGCACTCGATATTAACACTCCCATTTTATTTATTTATGCATTTATTTACTGCCCCCTCCCCTCCCCCAGCAACACCCACCAGGGACCTGACCCACAACCCAGGCTTGTGTCCTGACTAGGAATCAAACTGGGAACCCTTTGGCTCACAGGCTGACACTCAATCCACTGAGCCACACCAGCCAGGGCATGGCTCCCATTTTAGAGATAGGAAAACAAAGGCACAGCTAAGGGGATCATTTGCTAAATATCACAAAGTTCAGAGAAGAACAGTGTTCTTGAGATCCTGCTTTGCTTCTGGAAGCTAAGCAAAAAAATAAATAAAAACAAACAAATAAAATAAAAGCATTAACTATAAAAAGAAAATAGGCCGCTGCTTAAGGTCATGAGGACAAAGACAGACAGAAAGGGGTAGGTATTAACAATAGGTTAAATTATTACTTAATATGATTCTCACCTTCAAAATAATAAATGCCAGAAGCAGGAGACTATGATGATTACTTCAATTTACAATTCAGCAACATTTGTTGAGCAAAACACTGTAATGGTATGTGTGGGAAGTGGAATGAACTCCAAATAAGGCTCTTTCTAACTCCAAGTGACAATGATGACAGTTCTCTTAAACTGGGAGTGGCAGCCTCAGAGACTAGAAGAATGAAGTTTTGTAAAGGTCTGCCACCACTACTTAGTTTTGTAAGGTTTCTACTATGACAAAAAGCCTTCAACAAAAGAGGAAATGAAAGCTTGGCCCCAACCACCATGGTATTATTTCCTTCCTTAAAACTCACGTTTAGCTCTGACCACTGTGACTCCATTGGGCATCATCCTGCATAGCAAAAAGCTGCCAGTTCAATTCTGTCAGGGCACGTGCATGTGCGTGGGTTGCAGGTTCAGTCCTTGGATGGGGCGCATATGAGAGGCAACCAATTGATGTTTCTCTTCCTCTTTCCCCTCCCTTCTCTCTCTCTAAAAATAAATAATATCTAACCCCCCCCTCACACAACACAAACTCATGTTTAAATCATTGCCTGTGTCCTTTATAACCATACACTTCTTCTAGTACTTAAGACTTTCTTGATCTACAGCAACCATCTCTTTTGATCCAAGATATGTTTCTGTCCAGGGTAAATTTACCCAGCCATTATGACATTACTTTTCTATTCACATAGAGTGAGGTGAAAATGGAGAGCAAGTGGGCCTCATCTACTCTTTTCTAACACTTCATTCAGGATCAATTCCCACCTCCAGGCTTTGCCCCTTTCCATTTGCTCTTCCTCTGACATCGTGCTGTTTGTACCCTTCTGTTCCAATTATGTCCATCATATCCAATCATAGGTTGATTTATTTTATTCACGCCTATAATTGTGTTGGTTATATAGCTTACTGATCAATTTTCCCCTCTATTCACTAATTGTCCTCTAAGTCATTCTATGTAAAAATACTCCCCTACTTAATTTTTCTCTCTTCTGAATCCTTTTCGAGGACGCTACTTTGCAAAGAGCAAACAGTTACATCCTGAAAAATACCCCGGACACATATTCCCTGTCCATTCTTATCAGAAATACGTACATCTTTAAATTCTATTCCCTAAAAGTGAATGTATGTCAAGTACCATTTTAAATACTTCTGCATATGCCTTTAGGTTAGCGGCTAACACCTAGGTTTTCACTAATCATGTATTCTGAATAATGCTCAGTCTTTCCTCTCAGCTCTTTTTCTTACATCTTTCCTTTGAGGCCTCTGACTCAAAAAGCAACACAGAAAAAAACATGAAGCCAAAAAACTCTAGAAGCAGTGGCACATCCATATGGCAAGAGGCCTACAAAAACACACTTCTCAAAAGATTTATCTGAAATGTAGAAGTGGAAAAAGGAGCAGAAAAAGAGAGGAAGAACTCACTAAGAGAGAAGAAAATAGATAGGAGAGTAAAGCCATCTCCTCCCAAGAGAAACTGATGGGGAAAACGAGCAGTGGGAGGTTCTACAGCAAGTGGAGCCATATATCCAGGGCCTAGGATAAAGCGCACATCCCCCCAGACACTTACCGTGTTGCATTTTGTGCCACACACCACCTGCCTATGATTCAGCCACTGAGATGCAAACACTTTATTAAGGGTCCCAAGGTGAAACTCTTTCTCCTTCAGGAGACTGGGAAGTTGCTGTGCTGCATAACCATGCAACACACGAGAGTAGCTGGTTTCATTCTGTAGCCTGACTTCTCGGTTCTTCAGGTAGTACACTAAGGATCTCTTCACTGGGGGGAGTCTTTTCCTTTTGTGAAGGGAGTGATCCCAGCCAAACTGTGGAAAGCAATATTAGAAATCAGGGCTTTGGCTACCTTCCTTCCTTCAGAACAAGGGATCCTATTGTATTAGAGAAATCACCAAGAGCTCATCCTACAGGATTTACATGCAAAAGAAATACAAGAACAGGAATCTCAACCCAGACAGTCCAGTTTAACTCTTCCAACACTGAAAAGATGCTGCTCCATAGCCAAACCTACCTATGAGAAAGAAGGAATGAAAAGACAAGGGAATAGAAGCAGAGAGGAGGGCAAAAAGTTTACTAGGCCTTTTAAGATTTGAAGAGAGAGTCCATAAAGTTATCCTTGATAGAGAAGGGAATGAGGAGCTGAATGATTACTATACTGACCTGGGCTACATCTCTACCTAGTCCCCTTCTCCCTCTCAGCCTATACTCTCCGCAGAGCATGAATTATGCAGCCCAGGGAGTCAGATTTAGGGTCCCAGGTCTTCCAGGGTGCACGATCAATGGCCGCCCCCATGTCACAAGGCCCGCGCTCCAGGCAGTTGTAGAATTCGAAAATCAAATACCAACGAAGTGGGAAGCACGGGAAATCAGAGTCCGGGTACGTGTCCAACAAGGTCTTCCCCTCCAAAGAGGGCGACATAGGGATTATACTTAGGAACTGATTGTTCTAGGGGTCCAAGTTGCCAGCTCAGGGCCTGGGTATCCAAGCGAGACTCCTTATTAGAAACGAAATCGTCCCTGTTTCTCTGGGCCCTTGTAAGGGGGCTTCATTCTCCCTTTCCTTATCTTCTGGGAGATTTTGTTCCCAACTCCCCTAAACCTCCTTCTTCCAAAGCCCAGATTCTGGTTTCTACTCAGGCCCCATTCCCGGCTGCATGCCTTCCGCAGAACATACCCATTTTCAAGTTCCCCTTTAGCTCCTTATCCCGGCTTATCTGCTCCCCAGTGAACTCTTGATGGTCCAGCCCTCACTGTATAGGCCAGACTCCGGTCTCCGCCGCCCCCTCCCCGACTACAGACCTCAGATCCCCGTTGCGGTTCCCTGATCTGCGATTCCTATTCCCTTCTGTGTGCCTCCACCTTATCACTCGAGTTCCAGCCTTTCAGCCCTCACCTGCGGGCCCTGAGCGTCACTCCCAGCTCCCGGCGAAGCTGGCGCTTTCCGCTTCCTGCTAACTGCTTTCCGGGCCATAGTGGGCAGCGCCGCCGCGGCCCCGCAGCCACATGGGGCGGGGGAAGCGAGGGGGAGAAAGACGGGGGGTCATATACTGGGCCCCGGGGCCGCGCACCTTACTGTGCCCGGCCCGGAAAATGGCCCGGACCCGGGGGGTCAGTAGAAAGAGAGGAGGCAGGCAGAAGGAAAGGAGGAAAGGGGGACCGAGGGTGGGAAAGGGGAAGGGGATGGGAAAGGAAAGCAGGAACGAAAAGCTTCCCGAAGACCAAGTGTGGAAACGACGGCGAGCGGCTAGAACCAAAACACCCCCTCCCCCTACTCGCCCCGTCACCCTTGCGCAGCCGCACTTCGCAGCAAGTCGCTAAGAAGACGCCGCCGGGACTAGAGGGGCGGGGTTTAGAGCTCAATGGGGAGTTAAGGTATGTTGCCTAGCGGCAGTCTGCCTATTTCTAACCGTAGTCTAGTGGCCGCAGGAGGTAGGCGACCTGAGGCTAAAGGAATCCGGGTTCCAGCCGTCAAACTTTGGACCCCTCGCCCGCCCGTCCTCAGGTACCCGGAAGTGAGGACAGCTAACCTCTCTCCGGGAAGGACTTCCTGGCTTTTACCCGGCATCCACCACTGGTTATCGCCCTGCAGGCGCCTAACGTGCCCCGAACCTATGGCACGCAGAGCCGGGGCGCCAAAGGCTGAACTTTGTAGGAAGAGGCAAAACCTTCTCCCCTCAGCCCTGCTAGGTGGAGACCGGCCCAGAATCCTCGCCGGCGTGGTCGCACTTTCCGTTTGCGGAGAACCTGCCCTGCCCGGAGCAACCAACTTAGGCCGAACGCCGGGGCTCTGGCCGCCTTCTCCCCGCCCCTGGAGAGCCCTGAGGCTCCAGTCTCCACTCAGTCTCCTCCCTCCCTCCCCCGGCTTACTCCCCAAACTAACCCTCTCTTCAGCCGTAACAGGAAACAGCCCCTCATTTCCTTTTTTTGCTGCGACCTCACTTCCCTTTAGATTCCCATGGCCTGAAGGCCACACTATCTTTTTTGTTTCATAAAATAGGTTTCACCCCGTAATTTATGTTTCTTGTATCTCCCGTGCAGTCCTAAACCGAGGAATAAGGGACTGCCACTGCCTGCCTCTTTTTCGGGCCCGGTTGTATCTCCACCAGGGCAGATTGGGTGAAATTCTGAACCATACAGAAGAAAGTGGCCATTGGCTTTTCACTCCAGTTAGGGTTGGTATTAACTACCAACCATGGGGGTTTCTTGAAAATCACCATTGCCTCCACTGTCAAGAGATCCTATAGGAATTTGAGTGCCAGCCTCTACATGTTTCAGGCAAAACAAACAAAAAAACACCCTACAAGGAAGTAGAAATGCTTTCTTATGGCTGACCAGACTCAGGCTGCAGTGCCCAGTTACCTGCTGGTCCCTTCAGGCTTCAGGCCTCATACCTCCAGGGAGCTCTGTTGGCCCATTTGAAGTTCTGTTTCCAAGGAGATATGGGTTTGTTTACCAAGCTGAACCAGAGACCCACATTGAGACAGGATCCTCCCCCATCACAGGTCAGCACTGCCACTAACCACTAATGCCACCTTGGAAAAGGCAGCCCCATCTTACTTGGTCAGGCCTATTCCTTCAGAGACATGCACACAGTGAATGAGTCAGAGCTGACTCATTATCCTTTTCTGAGCCTGTTGTTCCAGTTCTGTCTTGCCTCACAATGCCCTGGATGACCCAGTAGTCCATTGAACAAGAGTCTGGAATTCCTTTAAGAATCTCAAGGTCATGTTGGGCTGTGCTTAGATTCTGGTCTCCTCTACCCATATCAGAGGCTGCAGACTCATCCTCAACTTCCTCTTGACACCCCAAGAACTATCTCTAAGTGCACCTCACAGCAGAGCTCACCATTTCTGTGGAGATAAAGTGCAGATTCATTTGGAAGTTTAAAAGTTCACAGTTGCTTTTAAATATTTTATTTATTTTTAGAGAGAGGAAGGGAAAGAGAAAGAAAGTGAGAAACATCCATGTGAAAGAGAAACATTGATTGGTTGCCTCTTGTATGTGCCCCTACCAGGGACTGAACCCCAAACTCAGGCATGTGCCCATACCAGGAATCGAACCATCAACCTTTCACTTTGCAGGATAATGCCCAACCACCTGAGCCATATCGATCAGGGTTACAATTTGTTTTAGAAGACTGATATTTTGATGTCTCTTGCCATGTCTGTAAATTGGGAACAATCATAGTGATACTTTGCCCTGACTCAGAACAAATTGGTAATACATTTTGAGAGCTTTGTGCTTTCAGTATACAACTTTAAGTTATGCAAGTGTCCAGATTAAAAGCATTTTATCATTAATTAAAATAATAATAATAATAATAAAGGACTGGTAATACCAAATATTAGGGAGGAGGTAGAATGACTGGAACTTGCATTTATTGCTAGTGGGCATGTAAATTGGCACAATTTGGAAAAGATCTGTGGCACTACCTACTAAAACTAAATGTGTACCTTATTGTCCAGCAGTCCTACTTCTGGTTATAAGCTCAACAGAAATGGGTGTTTATAGCTATCAAAAAGCACTTATAAGAATATTTAAAGCAGTTTTATTTATAATAGTCCTATATTGGAAATAGTTCAAATGTTAACCGATAGTAGAAAAAGTAAATTTGTGTTCCCATGACCTCCTCATCAGTTTCAATAATTTGCTATAATGGCTCACAAAACTCAGGGAAATATTTGACTTATCATTACTGCTTGGTTATAAAGGATATTATAAAGGATACAAGTGAATAGCCAGGTTGAGATACATAGGGTGAATCCAGGGGGTCCTGAGAACAGACTTTCTGTCCCATTGGAGTTTAGGGTGTACCACCCTCTTGGCACATGGATACATCCACCAATTCTGAAGCTTGCCATACTGCATAGTTTGGGGTTTATATGGAGGTTCTGTTATACAGCCACAATTGATTAAATCATTATCCACTGGTAATTAATTCAATCCCCAGTTTTTCTCCACTTCCCAGAGGTTGGGGGCTGAGGCTGAAAATTCCAACCCTCAAATCACATGGGTGGTTCCTCTGGCAACCCATTTGGAAGCTATTAGGGGTCTACATCAAGTCACTTCATTAATATAAATTCAGTTTTGTTGAAAGGGATGTATTATAAATAACAAAAGATGCTCCTGTCAGCATTATCACTAAGGAAATTACAAGAGTTTTAGGAGCTCTTGTGCCAGGAATCAGGGACAAAGACCAAATATATATATTTCTTATTATATCACAATATCACAGTAATAAAAGTCAAAATAGTTATTACCTTGGTGGTTAGTGAGAGGCAAAGCCAGGGAGGCTTCTGGTGTGCTGGGAATACATTTTATTGAGTTTAGACAGAGAAAGGAAGGGGAGAGAAAGAGAGATTGAATTGTTGTTCCACTTGTTTATGCATTCATTGGTTGCATTTTGTATATGCCCTGACCAGGGATGGAACCTGCAACCTTGGTGTACCAGGATGACATTCTAACCAACTGAGCTACCCAGCCAGGGTTGAAATTTCTATATCTTGATCTTTGTGGTGATTATACTAGTGTACAGATATGTAAAACTTCATCAAGCTATACATTTAAGATTTGTACAGTTTATGTAAGTATACTTAAGTTCAGTCATGGCCACTTACTGACAGATATGTTCTGTCTGTCTGTAGAAATGCATCACTAGATGATTTTATAGTTTTGTGAATGTAATAGGTATACTTACACAAACCTAGATGGTATAGCCTACTACATTCCTAGGTCATATTGTATTGCCTATTGCTCCTAGTGAAAAACCTGTACAGCATATTAAAGTACTACATACTGTAAGCAATTGCAACAAATGATATTTGTGTATCTAAACTAATCATATAAAAGGTATAGTATTGGGTTGGCCAAAACATTAGTTCCTTTTTTGTGTGTAAGATGGTTGTAGTAGCACTTAGTTGTCTTTAACGTCATTTGAAACAATTTTGTTAAATTGTATTGTGACGGCTGTCATATCAGCAGCATTTAAAAAACAACTTAACCAAAATTGATGAGTTTTTGTGTAGCCATTTTAATATTGAAGATGGGAGAAAAACTAAATGGACTTTTTGGCCAAACCCCCCAAAATGGTATAAAAAATAAAAAATGGTACACTTATATACAGTGTTTGCAGGACTGGAAGTTGCACTGAATGAGTCAATGAGTGAATGTAAAGGCCTAGGACATTATTGTAGAATTTATAAACACTGTACACTTAGGCTATACTCAATTTATTTAACATTTTTTCTTTTGCCCCGATTAGGGTGGCTTAGTTCGTTGGATGTCATCCTGCAAAGCAAAAGGTTGCTGGTTCAGTTCCCAGTCAGGGCACATGCCTAGGTTGTGGATTCAGTCCCTGGTCAGGGCACATATGAGAAGCAACTGATTGATGTTTCTGTCCCTCTCTTTCTCCCTCCCTTCCCCTCTCCCTAAAAATAATAATAGTAATAATTAAAATAATAAAATAAAACATTTTCTTTCTTCAATTATAAAATAAACTTAGTTTTATTATAACATTTTAACTTTATAAACTTTTTAAGTTTTTAACTTTTCCATTTTCTTGTCATAACACTTAGCACAAATATATTGTACAGCTATACAAAAATATTTTTATATATCCTTATTCTATAAGTTTTTCCCTATTTAAACATTTTAATGTTATTTTTTTACTTTTTAAAGTCTTTTGTTAAAAACTAAGACACAAAACACACATTAGCCGAGGCCTACACAGGGTCAGGGGCATCAACATCACTGTCTTCCACCTCCACAGCTTGTCCCACTAGAAGGCCTTCAGGGGCAATGACACCCACGGGGCTGTCATCTCCTATGGTGACAATGCTGACTTCTGGAACACCTCCTGAAGGACCTGGCTCAGGCTCTGTGTGAGGAGTGTCACTCTATTCAGGAATATGTCCATGTGGGTTTGCCTGGTTTGTTTCTTTCTCCATCACAGATTTGCATGTAAGTAGATAACATAGCATAAACATTCTTATGAATGAAAACCTTGCTGTGTTGGAGTCCATATTTTTAGCTTTATAAGGTATGCAAAAGTTACTAAATGCTCTACTGTGAATTTTCTTGGGGGTTCTTCTTTTCTTCTCCCGCGATTTCCTTTTTGCTTATTTATTCTTCCGCTATGTGTTCCTGTTCTGGTTCCAACAACTCCTCATTAGTCAGTTCCTCAGGGACCACCTCTAGGAACTCCTCACTGTCACCTTCATCCACACCGAGGTTGTTTTCCATGTCAACAGCCTTTCCATTTCCAACAGCCTTGTTGGTTTTTGCAACCTCCTCATGCTTCACA